AACCTTAAGGAAACTGAAATTATAAAGGCACAGTGACACAAAGGGAAAGTAAAATGATTAAGTTTCAACATCTATATGTACCAATTACTTGAAATAAATGTATATAATGATAGTGTATTACAAATATATACAAATAACAGGGGGAGAATAAAGTAGGCTGGAAATATAGTGTATTTTGAAGGCCCTGCATGCAAAACCCGGTATGGCATAACAAAAGCTTTGAGTATTGCCTGTGCCTACATACAAACTTCAAACTTACAAACCTGGGTTTTTTTTTTACTTTTATTTTATTTTATTCTATTTTATGTAATTAGTACAGGCCTACGGGGTCTCACTATATAGATCGGACTCCTGGTGATTCTGCTGTTTTAAGCCTCCCAAGCGCTGGGATTATAGGCACACACCACCATGCCCACTCTCAATTGCCATCTCAGCATGCCCTGGGGGCGGTGCTGGCACCGCATGTCCTGGATGGAACCCAGGTGGCTGAGCTCTGCCTAAGTAGGTGCTTGAGTCCACAGAGCTATTTGGCCAGCCCTAAAAACCTGTTTTGACCTCAACATTAGGTCATAGAAATCAGTTTTGTTCTATAATACTCCTCTATAAGCACCTACAGGGCTTTCTTTCACATTTTATGATGTTTGTGTGCCAAATATGAGGGTAGCATATTCTTGGCATATGCAATTAAAACAGAAAATGAACATAGAAAAACAAAATGAATTAGTCTGGCTATAGCACTTCCTTCCTAATGATTCATGAATATCCATAATGATATAAGGAACATTAACAAGAGAAGTTGATTTTCAAAAGGTTAGACAGGATTTGTACACATCACAATTCAGAAGGGTGTAATTATTCAAGGAAGAGTTCACAAAATTCAAATGAAAAAGCTTAATCTGAATATGAGTGCAAGGGATTTTTCATAAAGAAGAGAAAATGAACATGATACTTCCAATTACACTGATTTTTAAATAACAGTGTAAAATTTTTTTAAGCCAAGTTGAATGTTATTTCGTGGATATAGTTTATTCATTATAGACCTGCATGACTATGTCAAAGAGTATGATATACTTTCAAGGAATAGATGATGAAATAGACTTCCAAATGTCTAGATTTTTGGATTGAATTTTGATAGTTTCTTGAACATTAAATTTGTGATTTGTTTCTACCAAAAGTTATATGCATTAGAATTTTATATTAAATGAAAATAGTAAAAATTTTAAAATAAACTTTCCTCAGAAATGAGTTCACAGCTTTAAAGTGCTGTCAAAGAGTACTTTGGGGACATTCCTGTATCTCATAAAAATTCAAAGAATCAATCCTTAGTTTATTTTACCAATATGTACGACTTTTGTTATCTATAATGACTGCATTAAAATAGTTGGTATGAAAAATCCTTCAAAAATCAGTTTTAATTAACTATGTTGAATGCATATTAACATTTTGAGTTTACTTTATAAAGCATAGCAGAATTAGTGCTCATAGGTAATTGTAATCAGAGGTACTTTAAGAATTAGAGGCATTGTAATGTATTTTTGTAATGGAAAAAAGAAATGTAAGAAAAAAGATAACTTAATTATCAGCAGTTTAAGACAGTAGAGACTGTAATGTCTTTCTCATTCATAACTTTTCTTGACTGCTTTATCAACTTTAAAAGTTTTAATGTTTCTAAGTCATCTGCAGAGTCTTTTCATGCCAAGTCTGAGCATGGAGTAATAGCATTTGACATGATTAATCCATTTACTTTCCTCAAGTGACACCAATTGCTCTAAGACTTATCTCTTACAATCTTAAAAACCATTCACAGTATAGTATTAATTGACCTTTCACTGCACATGGTACAACACCTAGTGTTTAATTGAAGGGCATTGTAATCAGGTTAATAAAGTTTCCACTGCAGAAAAATTAAAAAATAAATATTATTTCTAGAAGCAGATATAAAAATTCAATTTGAAAAATCTTGGATTTGAATAGATGTCACGCAGCATTCCCCTAAAACCTTCTTATTACAGTATTAAAGTATTTTCTTGGAGGCCGGTGAGATCTCTCAGCAGACTAAAGTGCCTGTTTATACAAGCTTAGGCAAGCTCAAGGACCATGGTTCCATCTCAGGCCCCATATGCCACGCCAGCCTCTCCCCTCAGGGAGGGCTGAGGCCAGAGTCAGGGCATAGTAGTGCATGCCTGTAATCCAGCACTGGGGAGGCTGAAAGCAGGAGGATCACTATGTGTAGAGAGACCCTGTAGCAACCAAATATATATATATATATATATATATATATATATATGCTTTAATCTCTACAGTTCGGTGAATATTCATCATGAGGAAAATGACATTATTCAGTATGCAAAAAAATCTATGAAAGACAGAAATGGTCAAGTAGAGGAGTTCAACAAAGGAGAAGTAAGAGGGCAGGGTGGTGCTTACTTTCTAAAATATGTGCTTTAGGACTGAGGCTGATCCTGGATCTTATTTCCTAAGATACAACATTCTAGTCTTCAGAGGTGTGTGGCTAGCCCAAATTATTACTTAAGTTAATCTCATTTTGTTATAGTTCCTCTGTGCAAATCAAATTATGAATAGGCCAAAATACCAAACAAGAAGAAATTTGAGTTTTAAATTTGGCGTCAGGAAGTTAAATCCAACTTCATAATCAAATGTGAGCATACTTTTGTTTCTCTTTCCTTTATTGTATTTGGCTTCTCAGTTAATTTCCTTGCTATCTATTATCCATAATTACTATGTTTATGGGGCACCAATATGAATTTTAAGAAATAATGGCATCTTAGATGTCAGTAATGGAGATTAAGAAAACTACATGTCAATAAAGAAGCAGGAAAAAGTTACAGAAAACTAAGAATTATTTTCCTTTTAAGAAAAATAATGAAAACAAACATCAAAACCTTTTGGACCTTAATTATTTTAGATGAAATGCAGATTTTATTTTAATATTTTGAAGTTCTTATTCATAAACAACCTCCTTATTTAAAAAACAACATAAATACTGTTGAAAGAGAAAAAAATGGGTTGTCAGTTCTGCCCCTAATAGGATAAATAATTAATCTCTAAAAGCAGATAAAAATGCTATTGTTTTAAACAAAGATAAACACACCAGTGTGTGAAAATGTAAAATATGCTATTTTGGATGATGATCATTACCTCAGGGATTATAAGAGCTAATGCAAATAAATAAAAATTATTAATTTGAAAATTTTATTAATAACACTATAGTCACCAGTAGAATGGAATACATGCAGGTCAAAATAAATTTGTATGAGTTGCGCTGTTGACTCAGCTACCTGGTGTAAAATCTGGTGCAACAGTGGATATTTCACATTCAAATAGCCTCCTGATTTATGTATTTCTTAAATTGGTGAGATTTTTGGTTTGAAATGGAGAAATTGAGCATTTGGATTTTGAAATCTATCATTAAATGCAGAATTGTCTTCATCAAACACTAGTTTGGCTTCTGATATTTAAAATGAAAACAGAAATGTATATATTTTGTCATTTGATTAATCATGAAGGAGTATGTGCCAGATATATACAATAAGCCAATTTTGTGAAATGTATAATTATGTCATTTATAAGCAAATCTGTGCAATTCTATGAATTTTCTAGGGCATAATTACATGAAACAACTAAATTAGAATTTTTTGTCATATGCAAGAAATGAGTACTTATATACTTGGGCAAGACAAGCTAAAAAAATAAACTGACCATCTTAAAAATGTTTACTCATCTTTGTGTGAGACTTAATCTGGCCCTTAAAATGCATTTAATTACATTACTGCAAAAATGAGTATTGTCTTGTCAAAAAGGCAGTATAGTAATAAATGGCTATGTTAGTGTGCTTATTGCCCAAACTTCCCCTGAGACCCTGCCAATGAAACCTGTCACTGACCCCATCAACAGGAAGGTGGCATTTGATCAATTCCAAACAAAGTTACTGGGAGAATAATTTCGATTACAAGACTGTCTCTGCCTGTACTGCAGACAGAAGAGAGCAGAGGTCATCCATCTTTCTGAATTTGCATGCCAAGTAGTATTTATTTCATGCTTTTATAAAGAATAAGGAAAGAGACAATATTGGGAAACTCCCAAATGACTCTGAGCTGCAGATCCTCAACATACCTAGCACTTGGATGACAGTTAGGAAAGTGGAGATGTACCAGGAGACTCTAGTGCTCCCTTAGATTTCAGAACTCTGTAGTTCTTAGTAAAATATGAATTCCAAAGTCACACCCCCTCATCTACCACTTAATTAGCTTAAGTCATCAAGAAAACATCAAACATCTGAGCTAATATCTGGGGTTTGGGCCACAAGTATGTTTAATAGAAAGGGACTTGGTAGCCATAGTCACATTTTGTCTGTAGTATGGGCAGGGAGAAGTTAGAAATGTTCCTTTGTCTTGAATAGAACAGAAACAGAGCCCTCCCAACCCACCCCCTATTGAGATTTCTATGAAGTTTAGAATTAAAATTCAAAACCCAGTTGGAAACATTATCCTTCTCTTAGGGTACAATTAGCCTCCTAACAATTGGTTGACTCTTGGTGTTTCATCTTACAGGGTATTCATTATAAAGTGCTCCAAGGGCTGGCAACAGATATAGCTTAGCTTAGCAGCACAGCTTGTGCCTGGCAAGCATGAGGTTGTGAGTTCAATTCCTGCTATGAGAG